ATACTCCATACTTCCATAAAATTCTTGCTGTAAGCACTAAATCTGACTTTAACCAGCAAACTTTCTCATTTGTTAATTGAAATTTGTAGAATTACAATGAAACGAGACATCAGTCGCGGTTAATTCAGTATACACAATATCAGCCAAATCTGCATTTTTCTCAATTCAAGTCGCTTAAGAAGTAAAATGTTATAATTCTGAAAAATATGTTTTATTTGGAATTATTCTTTGACAATAAAGTAGAGATCCTTATACTTTTTTCTGCTTAGTTCCACATTGGAATCGATCCCACAGTTTTAGCGATCTAGCCCACTCAGCCATCATCCGCAGTTAATTGGCACGGTTCCCACGACAGTAAGCTATGAATACAGAGAAAGTGCCGTGTCAAATATAGTATATTTAGCATTTGACCACTTTCTAAATGGCATTGTGTATTATATGTTTGTGCTTTCCCTTGCAATAACGTTTGATTTGCCCGTATCATGTATATGCAAAGACGACCAGTATAAGTCAATAAAAGAATCACAAAATAGCCAGTTGTCTCTGTTAGCTTACTAATCAAACTGTTGTCAGTTTGCTAGAGGTAATCACACTAATTGGCAAATATATACGATCAATCGTGTTGCCACTTTGATTGGAGGCTTACCATGTACTGACAGTATGTTGGCATCATAACTATGATTAGCAAATGTACCGGGCATGTTAGGGTCAACTCAGGTCCGGTGCAGAACGTTCACAGCCACACTGTTATTTTCATCAAGATGACAGATACCGTTGAATACCGTCGTATGTTTTGTGTCTCCCTGAAATAGATTTCCACTGCTGTGTGTGCGTCCATAACCTCGTAAACTACCATCGGCAGTGTGAAACCGGGGACCAGAGCCAGGAACCGGGGACCAGGGACCAGAAGCAGTAGGGACCGGATTCCAAAGGCCGGGCATCGGGGACCCAAGACCAGGGACCAGAAAGGGGGACCAGGTACCAGAAGCAGTAGGGACCAGATTCCAAAGGCCGGGCATCAGGGACCCAAGACCAGGGACCAGAAAGGGGACCAGGTACCAGAAGCAGTAGGGACCAGATTCCAAAGGCCGGGCATCAGGGACCCAAGACCAGGGACCAGAAAGGGGGACCAGGTACCAGAAGCAGTAGGGACCTGATTCCAAAGGCCGGGCATCAGGGACCCAAGACCAGGGACCAGAAAAGGGGACCAGGGACCAGAGGCAGTATGGACCTGATTCCAAAGGCCGGGTATCAGGGACCCAAGACGAGGGATCAGAACCAGGAATCGGGGAACATCGACCAGAAGCAGCAGTGACCAGGTTCCAAGGGCGAGGCAACGGGGCACCAAGGCCAGTGACCATAACCAGGGACCGGGGATCAGGGACCAGAGGCAGTAGGGACCAGATTCCAAAGGCTTGGTATCGGGTATAGGGGTACCAACACCAGGGACCAGAACAGGGGATCAGGGATAAGAGGCAGTAGGGACCTGATTCCAAAGGCCGGGCATCAGGGACCCAAGACCAGGGACCAGAACAGGGGACCAGGGACCAGAGGCAGTATGGACCTGATTCCAAAGGCCGGGTATCAAGGTTCCAAGGACAGGGACCATAACCAGGGACCGGGGACCAGAGGCAAGGCCAAGATGCGAAACCGGAGAGCCAAGGGACCAGAGAACAAGGGACCAAGTACCAGACGTGGAAAGCAGGGACCAGAAAGAGTAGCCGTAGATCGGTGACCAAGGATCGGGATTTAGAAACCAGAGAGCGGTTATCAGAGACCAAAACCCCAACCGGTGAAAACCTGATACACAAATTCTTTATTATCAATGTGAGCGACGTTTCAGTGCACCTTCTAACTTGCAGAGTAACAGCGTTTATAGCTACACCGAAACGTCGCTCATATCAATAATAGAGAAGTTGTATATCCATAGAACTCTCCTCGTTGTTCATCACACCAACTTCTAAATGTCACTCAAAGAAGTTTATTGAAAACCTATTTTGTTTTCTTGCAAAGTCCGCTCTTATTTTATTTTCAGACGATATATTCAGCGATAATCCCGATACTGGTATTGTAGTTCTTCCGGCCTTAAAGTATGGCTAAATAACTATCTATAATTCTTAAATACTTAGTCTGTTGAGATCCACTGAGGTACCAGCTGAAGTAATATTTGAGGTGGTAGTAGTGGTGGTGGTGGTGGTGGATGGGTGGTACTACTCCACTACAACACCACAACAACAGATACGACCACTACTACTGCTACTACTATTACCAGTTCAACCACCACTACTAACTCCTACGTTTCTTGTCTCCCAATATATCAGCAAGTCGTTAAATGGATAATTTACACACTCCCATCATTCCGCTGCATTGTATTTCACAATGCATACCTTTACAATCATAAATGAAGTTGATCAACGAAATTCAGTACTTAAAGTCAGACGAATTTATTGTTCATCTCCAAACCAACAATCAATAATCTGATATGAAACCTTCTGAAAACATTTCAGAAGCTTATATTACATTTAATCAAATCCAGTCCAGTCCCAGAGATCTAAACAAAGCAATTAGTTTGCTAAGATCAGAACATCAGACGCTGTATCGTATTCTCTAAGCACAACAACATCAACTCCACATTCTATGACCGTAATAAGTTTTACTGATTGCGTAGCTGTGGCTTCTCTTTGTTTGCCCAATCGTAAAATTTGGTACTTGGGGTCTGGTTCCTCGTCGGGCCCAGTTGAGCCTCAAAGCACTGATGTACTTCATAAATATTCTGCCGCATACCATAGCTTGTATCTCCTTTCACGCGAATTCAAAAAGCAGCTTAACGCTGTGAACTCCCATCTAAGTTAAGTTAGAAATTGAAAAATGATACATATTTCACGTATCTAATAACGACTGATTAATCTTAAATATGACCTCCTTATGGCCCTAGGTTCGTTTATTTATGTCACAGTAGTATTGCTGGGTGCTTGTAACGAGAAATTGACAGTTGATCGGAACGGATTGACATTTGGAATTAATTACAAACGGCTAGACATGATATTTTATTGCTATGTGAGGAATTGGATATGATATTGATGAAAACGGGTATGAGCTATTGTGGAATTTCAGTCTGATCGTGTAATGTTACTATCTACGGTCAATTAAACGTTATCACTGACTAGAATGTGTCAAACTCATGTTCCTTAATGGATTATTTTCATATTTTCGTAATTATTTCATGGCCACTTTAGGATTTTAATGCACGGAAGAAACTTTTGTACAAACTACACACAAACACGTACTTACACATACACATCCACTGCAACACCAACACAGATCTCTCTGTATTTCTTTGTTTGTTTGTGTTTGTGTGCGTGTGTGTTGGTGTGTGAGTGTGTGTTGCTGTATGCTAGTGCTAGCTGGCGTGGGTGTGAATGTGTGCGATTGTGTGTAGGAGTGAGTGTGGGTTAAAGAGTGGGTGCCATATTGTGGGTGTGGGTGTGGGTGTTGGAGGCCTTTGGTGTGTGGTTTTTGGGGGGACGGAGTCATCATCATTAATTCAAGTCATACATACAGATTATTAGCTGAGTCGCCCGGTATCTTGAACATCATGATACTTACCCGCGCGATGGAAATAATCAATGACTCAGGGATAATTATTGAAGCAATCTTAAAACCACATATGATTGAAATATAATGATGAAGTGAATCGTTCAATGTTTCATTTGCCAAATTTGCCGACACAATCTCCCACACATCGGAAAGCTCCTACATAGAACGTTTATGGTGCAAGCATATAAACATAGTCCCAGCTGAATGACTTCATTTGGATATTTAACTATGATGCTACCAAGAATATCGGCAGTATATGGTAAACCTTCGTTCATTAAAACAGGAGTTAAGCAACTTCTTAAGGACACGTCCATATTTGTTTCTTTCAGTTTGTCAGATTACGAGGCTGTTGCGGATACAAACTATTCGTCCTTAATATCATTACAAGAGGATAAGAAGGATGGAAAGCGTTAAGGTTGTCTTGCCAGGATGCATTGGGTAACAAATGGTGGACATGACAGGAGGGATGACTTCAACTTTCCAATAGGCAGCTTTTCCTTTATGTCGAGCACTATTCAATTTGAGGTACAGTCTATGCTTTTAAAGAACGTAATACGACTCTTGATCAAAAGTCATTTCTTTATGATAAGGGTAACCATCCAAAGAATTGTGTAAGCTTCCAAAACGAGTTATGACAGACATTTCAATATCAGTGACGAAAATAGATGTTCGATGTAATATAATACCATAGGTTCCAGTGCGTATGTTTCTCGGGGGAAGTTTGACTTGCATCTGTATGAGTTTTTGACGAGTGCTACCTATGTGGAGCGTGTTCGTATATAACTGATCTCACCATTCCGTTGTGGTGATTCATAAACACATGCTTAGGACATAGTCAAAATTGTATAGTTTATGCAGTTAGCCGATATTTCTCACGATCATTGAAAAGTACCAAATGTTATTTTTGGGATTACATTACGCATATCATTGAATTCGTTTCAATTAATTTTCTGTTCTATTATCAAACTGCCATATGAATGTACATATCAGTGTTTTATGGGCAATCAGTCGTTCTATGCAATCACATACATGTTTAATTCTGTCATAAAGTATGTATCATAATTAAGCACCTGCTCTCTGGTCACTATTACATATTACCAAGTGGTAATTATATATAATTGTATGGGCGGTAGGTTCCTTCTGGTAATTGTACGTATATTTGAGTAGTCATTATCGATGTATATGTACATGTGTGGCAATTATGCTGTTATAGTTGTAAAGGGTATTTGTTTTGTGATTAATGCTCGTTGGCCAATTGCAATGTAATGACGTGATGGTATGGCTGGCATTTTTTGATGTGAATGCAAGTATGACAATTATGACTTGCCATTTGTACAGCTGACATTTTGTTTGTGGTTAACATGCGTGCGAAAAGTGTTGTAGGAAAATATGACATCTCTTACCTGAAATTCCCTCGTATGACCACCAGTCTTCCCATATAGACGTGTCTGTGGAGAGACAAAACAAACTGTTATTCAGTGCATACGGTTACAAAACGTTGTCAGTTGAGGTGAGCTATCTACAAATAATTGTTAAATATCAGGACGAATTACAACTGTACTCTTCTGTACTCATGTCCGTTCTTAAATAACGTCCGGGCCGCTGGGTAGCCTAGTGGTTAAACCATTCGTTTGTCACACCGAAGACCCGGGTTCGATTCCCCATATGGGTACAATGTGTGAAGCCCATTTCTGGTGTCCCCCGCCGTGATATTGCTGGAATATTGCTAAACGCGGCGTAAAACTATACTCACTCCCTAGGAAACAGTCATATGTTGCTGACGTATTGTATTTGAATCCAATTCTCTCTAGTTGAGTGAGAGTGTCTGTGAGTTACAAAATATCAATTGATACTTAAAAAAAATATATATTTCGGTGCGCGTAGTTCGCGAATTGAGTTTAACAGGGCTTCGAACAAAATAACACCGGTGACGATCTGGGTTAGAATTGGTTTTCAGCAGCCCATGCTTGTCGTAAAAGGCGACTAACGGGATCGGGTGGTCAGGTGGTCAGGTGGTCTCTGAACTTTCGAACACATGTCATCGTAACCCAATTACGTAGATCGATGCTCTTGCTGTTGATCACTGGATTGGCTGGTCTAGACTCGAATATTTACAGACCGCCACCATATAGCTGCAATATTGCTGAGTGTGGCTTTAAACAATGAACAAACAAATCTAACAATATGTCAGTTTTATGTCTTTGTGTCATGTTCACAACGGATGTTTGCTCCTGTTTCTTACACTGTATCTTCAAAGCAGACATGATAAACGCAATTCTATATTTTTAACACATTGACGCAAACAGAAAACATATATAAGAGACCCTTAATGTTCAAATGAATAAAAAATATATGAACAAACCTCCTTACGATAGGCGATAAACTTTAACTAACACATGGGTTTAAATATATAACGCTAACGATGGAGAGCAGTTAGTTTCAATTGTCCAATAAAACACATCTCAGTCTGCTAAAAAGGCAAACGGCGGTGAAAATTGCCTGGATAGATCTCTGAAATGAGGGATACACCAGTGTTCTCGAAAAGGGTAATTATAAAACGTTAATGAAAGAGACGGTCTTCAGAAAGCGTCCCTTTTGGAATAAAAGGCAAAAGAACTCTGAAAAGTATATGAATGGACCTCTGAAAATAAGCCATGACGTAAGGTGTAAGCGTGTCGTGCATGACAGCCATTCTATCGTCACAATTCTGTACAATACACTTCAAGACACTTTGATTTCTCAATGCAGAAAGTGACATTTCTATTTAAGGAATAGTTTTCCCGGTTCAACTTGATAAACGTGATTCATCCACTTTCTTAACACTTCTTTACAGTCATGCACGCTTTTTAAGTTCCTGTAAGAAGTTGGACAATGATGAATCCATCATATTGGAAGCTGAGCGTTCCAAAATGATAAATGCTGTCCCAATAGGCATTTTATGCAATGCTCTCCGTGCTGCGTTATTCAAGGAGTCTACTTACATTGATAGGGAGGTTCGTACAATATATCACATGGTTTCTGACGGGAGACGGTACAGGATAATGATCACACATTTTATAACCTCTATGCCTTGGAGATATTTAACAAGAGCGACCTTTAAAGAAATCTCGTTTGAGGATGATGGATAATGTAAGTGGCACTTGTTTTTGGGATACTAGTAATATATAGGAATGATGCTGTGATGGAAGTAGCCAATTTATGTTTGAAATTTACGACAGATAATTTCAGTAGACATATTTTGCAAATACTGCCAATTAAGATTTGGAGAGATATATGATAGGTAGGTAGTTGAAAAAAGAAAAAGTTGTGCTTACACGATCCGACTTACGGTTTAGCCAACTGAAATGAATTTTATGAAAGGGCCTTTACTTTATGTAAACATTTATTTTGTGTAAGCAGCTTTGTCTACACGTTACATTGTCAAATAATATTTAGATGGGTCGAAGACATATACAACAGTCGAACACCGACATGTCTACATTACATTTATCTCGAAATAACGTTCGGTCCCTACGTATTCATTCGAAGTAAATATTTCGAGTTATCCTATACTACTCACACTTTGCTAAGGATCACAAAAATTCACAACTTTACTTAATCGTAGATTTATTATTTGAAACTGTATCCATTTTAAACTGGATAAATAATAATACGATGACCCTTCTTTAGGCAAACCGTCATTTTAATCCAACCTTATGCACTTGATACATGAGTAACCATAAACATGGTTTTCATGGCACGAATCAACCATTTTGCAAATCATGGAACGACTCATTGACACATAGCAGGTATGCTTACAATAAGCTTAGATATTTAAACCAAATTTGACCCCACATAATAGTTTTCTGTTGAATCCATGATTTGATCCTTAGCAAAGTGTGACTGGTATATGTCCCACATGGTCGGATCCAGGAATTTTGAAGGGGGGGGGGGGTTCGATCCCCCTGAACCCCCATTGGCTCCGCCAACGCAAAAAAGAATCTTCAATGTGGTCTTAAGTCACCCCGAAAACACACCACCCCCCAACCCCTGGATCCGCCAATGCCCCACACAGCCACGATTGATGTATTAAGAAGGAATACTTTGGACCAACCTTTAATTCGAAACAAGTAGGGCACATCAACGTTTGAGATAATGACAGTTTTACTGTTGTTCTGTCATAGTTGGGGCGGTGTTGTAGCAAGCGTTCGCTCGTCACACCGAAGACCCGGGTTCGATTCCCCACATGGGTACAATGTGTGAAGCCCATTTCTGGTGTGGCCCCCGCTGTGATATTGCTGGAACATTACTAAAAGCGGCGTAAAGCTATACTCACTCACTTACTATATCATAGTGTGACGATACAATATTTACTACAACTAACGCCGCCAGAAGCTTACATTGGCCTGGTACCATCTGTGACTCGCTGCCAACTAAGGTCTCAGTAATTACACCTCTTTCCACATTTGTCTGTGACAGGCCGAGTATAATGCGATTACTAATCTATATTTAACGGCCAGTATTACTGGACTTCTCTGTCCCTTCGTCTATTGATCATGCCTGGATCGCCCTCGCCGATAGGTGGCGCCCAAGGTCATCCTTATTACTGTCAGCGCCCTCTAGTGCCACCCTCAGATGTATTAATAGCATCGGATCACTGAGGTGTAGAAATGAGTATCTCGTTCGCCAGCGAGCGTGATGAAATTTGTCACCTTCTGATTCAAGGTGTGATTTGGAGTTATCAATTAATTGTCGGTCTGGTTATTAATTACCCTTTTACTATCGTAATTACAACAGAAGATGAAATACACCATTAAAAGAATCATAATGTTTAAATATGATATTACGTGTGACCCCAAAATGTAATACGAAAATTTAAGATTTAAGTACCTAATAAAATGATAACATGAAATATTGATCTTATGATGTCAACATGTTTGCATGCTTGGTAGATAATTTCTCCTCTACCATCTATAACGCTAAATTTGTATTTCACGTTTGGTAGATACTTCGGCCTATGAGATAATTATTCTTCATTCAGCTTTTTTGACACTTAAAATGGATTGCGTTTGAGAATGGTTTCGACATGACAGGATATATTTTACTGAGTATCGCGCCATAATCGTTGGTTTCAGCTTGAATACGACACTATGATAAATGACACGTTGAAAGTCGAGCGTAATTCAATGTCTGAAAACTGATATAGAAACCTCCGGACAATATGTCGACTTCGAGTTAAGCGGAGTGTCAATGCCAGACCATTATTCTAATCAGGATTCTGCAGACATAAAGTTTCAAAGTCGTAGAAGAAATATCGACTAAATGAAGTTGGTCCCTGTCTAGCATTATGGTCTTCAAAACAATTTCTGGATCATCCTTCGCTCAGCATTCGATTGGTTTGATTTCTATATAGAAAACAGGCTACAAAACGAGACCTCTATGGGAGGACATTACTTTTCTTGGCATCAATGGTCCGATGTAATAAGATTGATGCTATAAGGTTGTATATAGTGGTCTTTTCACGCCTAACGACCGTCCTCTGAGACGCCCTGTTGGTTAGGCCCTAAACTTGGGACGAAAAAGACTTCTGTCACGGAATTCTACCAAGTGGCATAAACCTGGTAAATATTCTATCAATTACCACTTCAAAGCCATTCACGGCTCCTCGACCAAATTTCAATAGACTTACTGTGGCCCTTGGGAAATTAACACCCTTCGACAGCCCCATTTTATCGGATCAGGTTAACTTGAATATGAGATTTATTTTTGTGCGATGACAGGGGATTTAGATGGGACGAAAAAATCGTAATGATTAAACAGAAGTGATCAAAGTTGTTGGAGCTGAAGTGAGTACTGTCTTGACATCGATAGGACCATTTGCAGGGTATGTAGTGGGTGATGACAAGCGTTCACTACGCAGACTGCCGGTCATCACGTTGATGCAAGATCAGAAAGGTGTTGAACTCGTTTCCATTTCCCTAATGGGTCGTCATCACTGGCTGCATCTTCTGAATGTTTGCATCACATCATGAGAAACAGGAGACATTGCTGGACGTCTTAAAGATGCAGTGGCGTTGGTTTGATCTGAAGCAGTGGTGTGGGAGATTGAAATGGGGATACGTTGTGGCATTTCAGGAATCAGGATTAGCGTTGGGATATAGCGGTGCCAGTTCTATTTGTATTCGAGATGGATAGAGGTTATTACATTCCTGGAAGTAGATCGCAGGTTTTGGTGTATGCAAAGAAGAATACACCAAAGGCCTTGGCGCATGTCTTGGGTCCTGAGATCAGAGCCTGTGTGCATAGAGTGACACCAGCGATCAGATCTATATGCGTAAGCCTTGACGCCAGCGATCAGAGGTTTTGGTGCACGTATTGAGGCTTGAGATCAGAGCTTCGGTGGTATATTGACGCCCGCGATGAGAGGTGTAGGTGTATGTCTTTAAGCCAGAGATCAAAGGTTTTTGTG